GCCCTGCCTCCGTCGCCCGATCGATCGGGCTCGGCGGCTTGCCGGGGTCCAAAGGGCGGAGCAGAGGCGCCGCGGCGCGCTGCCGCCAAACGGGCTGCGCGCAGGGCAGCGCGCGGGGCAGCGCGGACGCCCAGGCAACCGCGGACGCAGCGCCGACGCAGAGGTAGAAACAAAGCAAAAGCAGAGTACAGCAAAAAAAGCACCGCATCATGAGGAGGCGAGGCAAGGATGCTTTGGCCTTGGACGCCCATGCCGAGGCGCTTCGGGCGGGGCTGGCCATCGAAGCTGGCTGAGAATGGGCCGATGACGACCGACGAGAAAGGATGCAAGGGGACCCCAGGGAAGTCGATCATCTTCACGATCAGGGTTGACTGCACCAGCAGCGCAGCGCCAGGCAAGGGTCAGACGTGTCAGCAGCGCAGCGCGGTGTACGGGCCGGACTGGCCTGGCGACGGGACGACGGGCCCCTGGCCCCCAGAGCCCCTTCACGTCGCGAACAAACATGCAACAGTGTTTGGTCCCCCATTTTCGGCTCCCCCGGGACCGGCTCTTCATCGCGAATGGTTTCCTGACGGCCCCGTGGCCCCGCAAGAGCCTCCGAGGCCGAAAACGGCTTAAAACTTCCCGTCGCCATTGTTTTCGACGCTGGGGGGCCTGAGCACACAGAAAGACCCAAACATCCGACGCCTGGGTTTTTCAATGCGCGGCCCCAGGGGTCCCGCCGACCCACTCCCCGGGGCCCGTGTCTCGCCCCAGCTCCATCTGTAGAGCCCCATGGAGGCCGAAATCGAGGAGGAACGCCAGGGCGGAACAAACATCTGGTCGTCGGGCAAAGTTCTGGGGGGCCCCAGAGTACCGCAGAGCCCACGCCGCGTACGCCGTGGTGCGTCTTGGAACGTTTTGGCAAGCACGATCGTGCGGAGGGGGGGAGAGCGGCTCGGAACCCGGCGCTCCCAGTCCGAAGAAGGACGGCGCCCCCTGGCTCCCACGCTCCCGCCACGAGGGCGGGAGGGGTGAGGGGCCCACCCGGGACGGGGACGCGTCCGCCGTGGTGGGAACGCCCCGCTGCCGCAGGGCCCCCATACGGCGCCCGCGCCCGCCGCGGAGCGCTGGCGCCGCCCCTCGACGGGCGCGCGGAGGGGACTCCGGCGGAGGGCCGGCCAGGCTTGCCGCATGGTGCCAGGCGCGTCGCCGCCGTGGCCCGCGCCGGCGGGGGAGCGCATCCACTGTGGGGGGGAGGGCAGGGGGCGCGGGGCCCAGATCTCCGACGGCGCGGTGCCTTCAATCTCGGTGTGGATGTTTCTCCGACGCTGGCCTCTGGGGCCCGTCGCGGGGCCCCGGGACCATGAACAACGGATCGGGGGGCGAGAAACTAGCCGCCAGAAGGGGTCGGGACGTCTGGAGCCGGGGACGGTAAAAAAAACAACAAACAACAAAAATAATATATAGATATAAACAACAAACAAAAAAAAAACAAAAAACAAAAAAAAAAAAAAAAAAAAAAAAAAAAAAACGGCGGACGTCAGGGGACGGAGAAAAAGGACACACTGGTACGGCGCGCCTGTGTCGGAGACGCACGCCCGACCCGAACATAGAGCACGAAGTCTTGTAGCACGTCGCTCCCCCTCGAGAGAGAGAGAGAGAGCGCCCGCCACGGAGCGTACACTGCGGGGAGGGTATTGGGCAAAGGGACCCTCAGATGAGGAGCCCGGGGCCCGGAAGCCGGTGGCATTCCAACCGTGGATCGGTCGTGGATATCACCGCCGCCCTCAGCAGAGCCGCCAGAATTCCCATCGCGGATCGGCCACGGGTGTTGCCGCCGCCCTCAGCAGATGCGGAATCCTCCAGGGTCTCTGCAGCCTCCTGGGCACATTCCTTACCGAACGCCCCCAGCGCACAAGACTTCCGAGCGCGCGCGCGGCCCTTGCGTGGCCGATGCACGTGTAATAGTTTTTGACGTCGGGGCCGTGCCGAGAGGGTGTTGTTCCTCGATTTCGGATTTTCGGTTTGCTCGGCTCTTCCTCGATTTCGGATTCAGTCAGGTTTTTCCTCGTTTTGTCCTCGATGTTTGGCGTTTTTCCTCGCTTTCGGTTCCCATGGGGCCGTAGAAAGAGATCTGGGGCGACGCCTCCAAAATGGCCCCAGAACTGCCAAAGAGGCCCCTGGGAAAGTGTCGGGACCTCTGTAACCAGACTCTCGAAAGTATCTCCGTCCCTCAAATGGGCAAGCCAAACGCGATGACAATATCAGGGGTGTGCCCTCAGAAACTGAGGGCTGTCCTTAAGATCGCCATCGAGGTAAGGTGAGGCCAAACAAAAGAATATAAACATGTCGCCGCGCCGTTTGTTCTCAACGCGCCCAAGTGGACGACGCCGACGCCAGGGCAAACCTACGGCAAACCCTGCGTCTTGCACCCAAGCAGACGACGCTGGCACCGCGGCGAACCCACGGCGAACCCACCGCGTCCAGAGCGGCGTTTGCCCTGGTGGCCGAGGCGCCCTCCCCGAGACGTCACGCCGCGCATCGGAGCAACCAGCGCTGCGACACAGGTTTCCAACTGGTAACTCGGGGGCCGCGCACTGAGAAAGTACGATCGTCGGGTGGCCAGGTCCGTCTGTGGGGAGCGCATCCGCTGCGAGAGGACCAACGGGGCGGGCCCAGCCCTTTCTGCGGAAAATCCTGGAAGCCTCGCGCGGCAACGCGAGACCCAGTCTACGTCGGATCCGCGTCGGATCCACGTCGGGTCTGCATGGGATACACGTCGGATCTACGTCGGACCTACGTCGGAACATCGCCGCGCGAACGTCGTCCCATATCTAAGAGACGGACGTGTGGACTAGATAAACACAGCAACTGTGCGGCGTGCGAAGATTTTCCTCATGGCAGACCCCCTCGGATTGTGAAAATAATTGCCTGGCGAAGGACCCAACCGTGCGCAGATGTGATTACCGCAATTGTGGATATCGTCTTCGGTGGCGCTCCCTATGGGGACGCGAACCGTGTGAGGGGCGTGCCGAAAATGGGTGGCGCGGACGTATGGGAACGTCGCCACTGGGGCCTTCGGTGGACCCCCCTTATGGGGCCACGAACCGTGTGAGGGGCGTGCCGAAATGTGTGGCGCAGACGCATGGGAACGTCGCCATTGGGGCCTTCGGTGGAGCTCCCTTGGTGCCACGAACCGTGTGAGAGATGCGCCGAAAAGGGTGGCGCAGACGCATGGGAACGTCGCCGCTGGGACCTTCGATGGAGCTCCCTTTGGGGCCACGAACCTTTTGAGGGATGCGCCGAAATGGGTGGCGCGGACGCATGGGAACGTCGCCACTGGGGCTTTAGGTGGAGCTCCCTTTGGGGCCACGAACCGTGTGAGGGGTGTGCCAAAATGGGTGGCGCGGACGCATGGGAACGTCGCCACTGGGACCTTCGGTGGAGCTCCCTATGGGGCCACGAACCGTGTGAGGGGCGTGCCGAAATTGGTGGCGAGGACGCATGGGAACGTCGCCACTGGGACCTTCGGTGGAGCTCCCTATGGGGCCACGAACCGTGTGAGGGGCGTGCCAAAATGGGCGGCGCGGACGCATGGGGACGTCGCCACTGGGGCCTTAGGTGGAGCTCCCCATGGGGCCACGAACCGTGTGAAGGGCGTACCGATATGGGTGGCGACGACGCATGGAAACGTCGCCACTGGGGCCTTAGGTGGAGCTCCCTGTGGGGCCACGAACCGTGTGAGCGGTGTGCCAAAATGGGTGGTGCGGACGCATGGGAACGTCGCCACTGGGGCCTTAGGTGGAATATCCGATGTGGCAACGAAACGTATGAAGGGTGTTCCAAAATGGGCGATGGTGACGGCAATGATGTTGATGATGATGATGATGATGATGATGATGATGATGATGATGGTGATGATGATGATGATGATGATGATGATGATGATGATGATGATGATGATGATGATGATGATGATGATGGTGATGGTGGTGGTGGTGGTGGTGGTGGGAGGAGGGGGGAGGGGGAACAAGAAGGAGGAGTGAGTGAGGAACGCCGGGCGCTGTCTCTTCTAAACGAGGACCCAACACCACAGGATGGTTGGGAAAAAAACGCGGCGGAAGGTTTCGGCGATTTTCAAACCTCTCGGGGCCTTCGCCAGACCCACGGGGCCGTGAAAAAACTGCTCGGAGTGAGATGGCTGGTCCCAGAGAAGGGGTCCAGACCTCTGAGAGTCCACACTGCGAGAAAAAACACGACGTCGGCGGTCTGGGGATAGGGGCGAAGAGGAGGAGAGCGAGAGGAGGAGGAAGAGGAGGATGATGTTCCTGGATTCCGCTGCTGATCCAGGACCAGCGGCTTAAATCAGGCGGACTGGGTCGCCTGTTTCCTCGTCCTCAGGAAACCATTCCTCGCATTCCACTCCTGCGCAGCTGCTGAATCGACTGGCCGTGAGTCTCGCTGAAGGCGGGGGAAGAGGAGGAGCAGCAGCAGGAAGAGTAGCAGGAGAGGGACGAGGTCCCACCCACCCCGGTCTGGACGGCCACGACGACAGCGATGTCGTCGTCGCGGTTTCGAGTTCACGCAATGACGTTCCCGAAATGTGAACCACCCCTCGAGACGGGGAACCCCCCATCCCCCATCCCCCCTTGGAACTCTACTGCATGGCATGCACCTTCGGCTGAGTAGGCTTCGGGCCCCACACCCAAGCCCCCTTGCAGTGTGAAAATTCACTTGGAAAATATTACTCAACTTGCGGCGTGGGCTGACACAGTCTCTTCTTGCATCCCCAAAAAACTCACTCCAGGTCGTTTCAAATCTACTCCGTCACGTTTTATCACGAAGGCGACGCTGTGCGCTCCAGGACACGGTGCTTAGTCGCGGCATCGCATGAGGACGCACGCGATCCAAAGAGCTGGAGCATCGGAGCTCCACACTTTCACCGACGCGTTCTTTCCCCGATCATCCTCAAGCGCCTCCCCTCACGAAAATCCCCTCTCCTCGCCGCGAACGCCCGCCTTGCCCAGCGGCAGCCTCGACTTCACGTCACCCGCCTCCACGGCCTCGGGGGGGCCACGCGGAGGTGGCGGAGGAGGAGAACCAGGGGGAAGAGGAGGATGGGAGGGCGGAAGCGGTGGAGAGGAGGACGACGACGAAGACGAGGACGGAGATAAGGAAGCAGCAGGAGGGCAAGGAGAGGAAGAGGGATGACGGAGGAAGGACGGGGGAAGAGGGTGGCCAGCAGCAGCACGGGGAGGAACAGCTACGACGAGCGCGACTGCGTGAGCACCCTCCGCAAGCCCGCGATCCGGTTCCGGGCCGCGAGGGCCAGAACGACGCGGGCCCAGGCGAAGAGGGCCAAAGGGCTGGCAGCGTGTGGGGCGAGGCCTCCCTCACTGAGAAGCGAGGAGGGGACAACGCGACCGCCCGACGATTGGCCCAGCGTCAGATGGAACCGCGCCGCACAAGGATCGAACTTAGAATTGTGCCTCGGTGGCTTCACCGGCACACGCTTTTTGCGCGTGCATCGGCCCCGCCGCGCAGAGCACCCCGCACCAAACAAAATGCCGCACGCGGGAACGGGACACAATCAGAGCCAACAAAACCAAACGAACTAGAGCAAACATGAAGACGAAGCATCGACACTCTCAGGCTCTGGCCGTGGGTCAGCCCGTCGCACGCCGCCCGGATAGTGCAGCTCTGTTTTTTTATCATGTCCGACATCCGTTGTTACCCGTGGGAGGGGGCGGCTGGGCAACGGTAACGCTCGGGCGGGGTGGGGCACGTCGGGACGGGAGTAAGCTGCGATCGCCAAAGCACGCGTGCGAGCCCCAGTTTGTGGGGGCGGGGGGGGGTCCAGGCCCCCCTAGCCCTACGCAAGATCGCAACCGTTTCCCATGAGGAAGGTTGTTACCCAGGCAACGACCCTCACGCGCCAGATGATACACAGAGCATATGATTCACCAAAGACACACACACACACGAATATCCACACACACACACATACATACACACACATACACACAACATGGATAAACAAACAGCATAGCAAACAAACAAACACCCAAAAAGCAAACAAACAACCAAACAAACAAACACGCTAGCAAGAAAACAATCAAGCAAGCGAACAAACAAACAAACGAAGAAACAAACAAACAAACAAACAAACAAACAAACAAACAAACACACAACACACCATAACACATCATATCACATGTCAGCACAGCTCAGCACAGCAGAGCACATCACAGCACAGCACAGCACAGCACAACACAACACAACACACAAACAAACAAACAAACCAGCCAGCCAGCCAGCCAGCCAGCCAGCCAACCAACAAACAAACAAACAAACAAACAAGCAGACAGACATATGAACGAATGGAAAATATCGCATCCACACCCACCTTTAAGTCGGCGGCGCAGAAGAGCCTCAGAAAGGCCCGCAGATGTAACTGTGAACTGCGAACGAACTTACCCGACACGCGCAGTGAACAGTGCAGAAGGGACGGTGCAAAGAAAGAGTGAAGTACTGTGGAAACACCGTGCAGCGGCCAACGAAGCGAGGGAAAAAAAGATCGACTGGAAAAGGTTGAAGCGCCAGCAGCTTGGTGCTATCATCCACACACACAAACACCCACAAACACCCCACACACACACACACACACACACACAAAAAAAAACACCCACACACACATACACGCAATCACACACAACACCACACACACACAACCATTCACGCGGAGAAGCTATCAACAGGACCGTTCAACGCACAAGAGTGCATTTGGGGGTTCCGCAGCACCCATGAAGACTTCGCTGGAGAGAATGTCGGACCAGGCTCGGCGCGCGCTCACAGAAGAAATGAGCAGTGAATGCGGTGCGGAGCACGATGGCGGGGGCAGAGGAAACAAAAAAGGAGGGAGAATATGGGGAACGAGTGATAGCTCCAGCGCGGCGCGACTGCGCCGCGAGTTCGCGATTCCCTGGCCGGCTCGGGCCCCGCAGCGCCGAGGAGCTCCTCGAAGCCCAGCTCCGCGGCGAGGGTGCCCGCCGTCCTCCTTCGGGCACCCCGCGCGAGCCAGGAGCTCCCTCCGCGGCGCGGGCAGGCCCGCGGGCGGCCCCCGCAGGACGTCCACGGGGGGCGCGCGCATCAGCAGGAGGTCCTCGCTGCGCGTCGCGCGCGAGGGGAGGGCGTAGAGGTCGAGCCACCAGTCGTCGTCGTCCTTCCTGCCGTGGGGCCACTTAACGTGTGAGGGGTCAATCGATACGGTCGGGAAGGCGGCATGCGAACGCAGCGACCGGGGCCTTCGGTGGAGCTGCCTATAGGGCCACGAGACGTGGAAGGGGTGCGCCGAAAACGGGGCGGGTCACCATGTGAACCAGGCCCAGTGGAGCTCCATATGGGGCCACGAAACGCGTGAGGGGTGTGCCGAAATGAGGCAAATCACCGTGTGAACCCAGCCGCTGGGGCCTCCAGTGGAGCTCCCTATGTGGCCACGAAATGTGTCAGGGGTCTGCCGGAACGGGGCGGGCCACCATGTGGACCAAAACCACTGGGGCCTTCAATGGAGCTCTCCGTGGGGCCACGAAACGCGTGAGGCGTACGCCGAAAGGGACCCATGTCACCATGTGAACCCAAACGCTCGGGCATTCGGTGGAGCTCCCTACGGGGCCACGGAACGCGTGAGGGGTATGCCGAAAGGGGCGCGAGTCACCATGTGAATCGAGCCACTGGGGCATTTGGTGGAGCTCCCTATAGGGCCACGAAACGCGCCAGGGGTCTGCCGAAATGCACCCGAGTCGCCATGTGAACCCAGCCACTAGGGCCTTCGCTGGGGCTCTCTTCGGGGCCACGAAACGTGTCAGATGTCTGCCGAAATACACCCGAGTCGCCATGTGAACCCAGCCACTCGGGAATTCGGTGGGGCCCCTTATGAGGCCACCTAAAGTGTGAGGGGTGCGCCGGAATGATGCGGGTCACCATGCGGGCGTTGCCACTGACGCCTTCGGTAAAGCTCCCTATGGAGCCAGGAAGCGCGTGAGTAGCGCGCCGAAATTACGGTGATCACGATGATGATGATGATGACGACGATGATGATGATGATGATGATGATGATGATGATGATGATGATGATGCAGACGATGAGGAGGAGGAGGAGGAGGAGGAGGAGGAGGAAGAGGAGGAGGAGTCCACGTAGCATGGGGGGACGAGTCGTGCAACCACTCTACAATCAATTACCTGATTGTGGCCTCATCGGCCGAGATATGTAGTGGCGCGTGCGAGAGGGGGTCGCGGGAACGACTCCAGCACGATCCTGATTAGTTTGGCATGCAAGCAGCGCTGAATGCCTGGTTTGTGTGGTAATGCTATATGTGCCGAACAGGTGCGGATGGCATGCAAGTTCAGCTCTGAGTTTGTGAAAGATATGGAAACTCAATGCGGTAAGCTCATGGGCACGCTGCCTCGAAATTTCTGCAGCGCTGTAGTCTGCATCAGAGCCGAGTCCAAGACGGACGATGGGATCAGAAGGAAGGAAGATGCGACCAGGGAGAGCGAGGAGGTGAAGCAGACGGGGGCAGACAAGATAGTGCGCGAGAGTCGGGAGAATGCGCACACCCAAATCGGCAGGTTAGATGAGTCAAAATGTGGACCCGACGAGAGGTGATCCATGCACCAGCCTGCGTCTTGAGATGCGCCCAGACTCGCATGGGCGTCGACGAAATGAGAATGAGTTTCAGCCGCTGCCATCGCACCTTCAACACGTCGGCCGAAGGAGGGGCAACAGGGTGGAGGGCAGAGGACAAGCGACGGTGAAGAAGGAGGTGAAGGTCGTCAGGGAAGAGGCGAGAGGGGAGAATGGAGATAAGCTTTGATTGCAGAGCGACGCGACGGCGACGGCGGCGACCAGCCTGTTCTCTGCGAATTTCGGCCTCCGCCATTGCGATCGTCGGTCGCGGTATGCAGTGTGCTGGGAGGGCCGCGGTCGCGTGCCTCGGGCCACGTCCGCTCCAGCCCGAGAATTGCTGGGCAATGCTGTACGGAATTCGCCAGCATGGAGCCGACCACCTGCCTCGGATGACCGAGACCAGTGGAAGACACTCGACAGCAGCGTCTGCGTGGCGCTCCAAGATTCCCTCCCACTTCCCCAACAACGTCGACGTCGCCGTCCTCCACCCCGCCGCAGTCGTAGAGAGCAGGACAGATTGCGGGGCACCAGAGCGGAGCCAGTTCCCTATGCTGAACAGTTCACTGCGCTTAAATGAGCTCGGCGGTATGCGAAGCAGCTTGTGGAGAGCCCACGTATCCTTCCTGAGCACATGTGGGGAGATAGCAAAAAACTGGGCCAAGGAGGAGGAGGAGGAGGAGGAGGAGGAGGAGGAGGAGGTGGGGCGCGGCGCTCGCTCTCTCGCCCTCGCCCTCGCGCCGCCCTCGCGCCGCGCTCGTTCGCCTTTAGAGTTCCCGGCGGCTACCCAGATGAAGGGCCGTTACCCTACAAGGCAAAGAGCATGGTCAGAGGATTGGAGCAGTGCCACGGATTCGCGGATGGAGGGCGGCTCCTCTTCATCTCAGACTGGGGCCGCTGCGAAAGGCGTCCTCGCACTTTCTGGCCAGAGGTGCGCCAGTGCTCAGAGGTCACACGGACAGAGTGCGGCTCCCTCGCTCGCTGGACACCTCCTCAAACCTTAGACTCCTTATTCTGGCGCTTGTCAAAACGAGAAGGATGGAGGGCAGCTCCTTTTCAAAACGGGGCTCTCGCTTTGATGACAGAACCATGGGCCGCTCGTCCTTCAAGGCGACACTTCCCACAGTGAAAACGCATGCTTGCAGGGACGCATCGGGGGAGGGCTTCGAACGGGAGTGTGCTGCCACGTCACTGGTGCACCCTGGTTCGCTCTGGTCCTCCTTCTCCTCCTCATCCTCTTTCTGCACCCGCGAGAGCTAGACGACTTCTCCTCATCATCCACGCCCTCCTCAGATCAGCGCAGCTGACCAAACCAAACGAGGACCTGAAGACTGGCATCGGTGGCGTCGGTGTGAAAACCTGCATCTAAAGAGCAGCGCGGAACAGCCCCCCACATCTGGCACAAGCTTGCTGATGAATATGTCGCCCTCCGCCCTTCACCCTGCAGACTAAAGTCCTGCTTACTGAGAAGCAGAATTCCCCCTGAACGGTCCAGGCAAAGGCTCCTTCCAGTAGCCCACGACTTTGCCCAGGGACGCGCCCTCTTCCCGATGCCGGCCGTGATCGCTTGCTCCAGCCCCCTCCGATCGAGAAGCGGGCGTCGCCCCGCTCCCGCGCACGGGCAGCTGGGCTCGCCGCCGGGGCTGGTACCTCGATGTTCTTCCGGGCGAACCACACCTCGAAGAGGGCGACGTGGGTCGAGTCCACCACGCCCATGTCGGAGAAGAGCTGATGGTTCAGCACCTTCTCACCTGCGGCCCCCTCAGGCTGTTAGAGCATCCTCATCGTGCTACCATAAGGAACGTTGAATGGGGAGCGAAGGGGCGCGTCTGGCCACGGCGAGCCTCGGCCAAGGAACGGTACGGAAACCAGAGCCCTCCTGAACCCAAACCGTTTCTCATTTCAGCATCTTTGAAGGGGCCCTGGGACACACAAAGAAATAAACACAAATAACAGGATTCCCAACATTCTCCCATATGTTCTGGGTTTTTGTCTTCCCCCCCTTCACTTCCTATATTTTCCCATATTTTCTGGGGAATCGACGATGAATTGTGTCTGTGTGTTTCTTTCCCTCCTGAATCTTGACTGTAGGTCCAGGTCATGGCAAAGTGGGAGCACGGCCTGCGGCTCCACGCCGCAGTTGCTACCAGGGGCCGCGTGCCGATGTGGCAGCACTCTCCCGGTCTGTCCCAGAACTCCCCGTCGCTCGGACGCCCATTCCCTGCGTGCTTTTTTCCGCAGGATGATCCAGGATGCTCCTTAACAGTCCCCGCCGAGAAAAAGCGCACACTTCCGAGCGAGACCCAGAGAAAGCATGCTCCGGCACAAACGGGACACGCACTCTTGGTTGTGTTTCCTATTCCGAAAATTTGTAAAGAGGGGAGGAAGGGGGACGCAAGGATGCCGCAGCACGTTCGAAGTGCTCGCACACACTCCAGAGCGTGCCTGGGCAACTCCGCGGAGCCCCACGAGGTGAGGGTGCTAAGAACCAGCTGCGCCGATGAGACTCCGACAACTGAGCAGCTTGATCACATTCTCCTCAGAAGCTCAGCAGCTCTGCAACCAAGAGGTCCTATCCTGCTCTCAGAGTGCAAAGCTGCTAGGTTATTTGGGAGGTGACCCCGCTGCGCAAAAGGACCTCTTCACCCTGCCCGAGCCACATCCTCTGCGTGCTCTGGGACACACGGAAAGCTGTGGATCCACGCTCCCGAGGCCAGCATCTCCAGCGAAATACGGTGAATCTGCGCTCCGCGACCCCTGGTAAAAACTGTTGCTCTGCGCCCCCGAGGCCACGGCCCGTAGAAAAACAAGCGAGGAATCCGCGCTCCCGAGGCCACGATCCTTCCTAAAAAACGATGGGTCCGCGCTCCCGAGGTCACGTCCCCTTGTTTTTCTACTAAAGATATTTGTTTAAAAAAACGGAGGGCCCGCGCTCGCGAGGCCACGATCCCTCGCAAAGAGCGGTGGGTCCGCGCTCCCGAGGGCTCCACCTCTGCACAAAGCCATGGACCCGCCCTCCGAACGTTAACGCCAGCCACCCAGCCGCCCTTCCAACCGGCCAGCAGGCCTGCGAACCAGCCCGGGAACCAGCCACTTGGCTGACCTGCCAACCGTCCATCCAGACAGCCAACCACACAGCCGAGATAGGGCTACGGCTCCCCTGAGATCCTGGCGTCTCAACTTTTTCGAGCCGGGCGTTTTCGCCTTTCTTTTGGGCCCCGGGACACTCACAGATCGATCCTGCTCGAAAAATGACGCAAGAATATGGGATCGAGGGCTCCGGGTGTGATTTTTCACTACGTTGCTATTTTTTCGCTTTGTCGGATCTCAGGGTCCACGCGCGTGGCGCCGTGAAGGCGCGGCGGAGGGGGCGCCGAGGCGCCTGCTAAAGCGCATGCGTGTGCGAAACACCGTCATGAAACACTGCATAGGGGGGAGGAAGAGGAGGCTGAGGAGGGACGGCGGCAGCATCGCTGCTGAAGGCACGTGTCCTGGAAATCGTCCTGCCGCCTGCCAACCAATCAGATAAGAGGCAAGCAGACGGTGGTGGGCGGCCGACGGCTTAGGGAGACGCACCCGAGAGACAGAGAGGGAGGGAGAAGGGAGAGAAACCAGAGGGCGACTGAACACCCACACACAGACACTCCCTTTGAAAACGAACGGGGTCCAAGTAAAGGGCACATACGGCGTACAGGGCGCCATGCACAACACAGTTGACCCCACTGCATAATCTGCCCTTGGCGAATCCGCCAGCCCCCGCTTTCCGGGGGTGCAGAGGCGTATGAAATGATTGGCTGTCCCCCTCCTCTTGACCCCCTCCCCTGGAGCTCCAAATCGTCTTAGAAGGGGGGCGGGCTGGGGAGGGGCCCGGGGGGGGAGGTTGTCCCCAGGCTCCTAAACGCACTCCCCGGGACTTCCCGAGCCCCCATTTCTACCTTCCGGGCCTCCAAAATACCCAAGATTCCATCGAAGCTTGCTCAAGCTGGGCCCCAGCACGTCGAGGGGGCCTTAAAAACAAAGAAGACAGCTTCAAGACGGCCCAAGCAGCCTCCAAGACGCACCCAAAGACCTCCCACACGACCCCAAGACGTATAATTTCAGCAGCTGCACCTTTTTCCATTTATAACCGTCCAGAACAAGCCTGGTGGCCCCCAATATCGCGCCAAGCTAGCCCAACATACCCCCAAGAGGACCCCAAGACGGCCGAAGAGCGCCCCAGGGAAGCCCCATAAGCGCAAAAGGCGGCACAAAAACGCCCGAAGAAACCCCCGAGGGCCCCCTAGAGCGAGCACGACCGATCGCAACCACTTCGGACCGATCGTCAACCACTTCGGACCGATCGCAACCAGCTGCGATCGGTCCGAAGTGGTTGCGACGTGTTTGGGTCATTGCAGTAAGGTTTTGATTCAGAAAGAGATCATACGAGCGTTTCTGGGTTCAATGAGTTCTCTTAAGCCGCCCAATGGGGATTTGAAAAAGCGGTTGCGATCGGTCCGATCACAGACGGCTGATCATGATCTCAGCTAAACACATGTATTGGAGCTCGAACGTGGCCATGATCCATATACAATTCGTATGTTATTCGTATACGGTTGAAACCGAAACTGAGCGAAAACGCGTGGCGTGAAACAAATTGAAGATCAGGAGGGGGGGGGAGGAGGAGGAGGAGGAGGAGGAGGAGGAGGAGGAGGAGGAGGAGGCGGAGGAGGAGGGAGGAGGAGGAGGAGGAGGGAGGAGGAGAGGAGGAGGACGACGACGACGACGAGAGGGAGGAAGAGGAGGAGGAAAGAGGAGGAGAAAGAGGAGGCGGAGGAGGACGGGGGGAGGAGGAAGGGAGAAGGAGGAGGGGAGGGAGGAAGGACAGGAGCAGGAAGAGCAGGAGCAGGAGGACGAGGAGGAGAAGGAGGAGGAGGAAGAGGAGGTGGAGGAGAGGGGAAACGGAAGAGGACAGGATGGCAAGGCGGGTAGACGCGGCGGCCCAAACCCCCAATGTCATGACTTTTCCAGGACGTCGACCCCCAGAGGTCTGGACGAATTCCCCTACGGTAGGTTCGTGCGGCGTTGGCACCCGCAAGACTTTTGGCACCGCGTGGATCGTTCAACCTTGAACCGATCGCGGCCCCGATCGTTCAATGTTGAATTTGTCGGGTACAGTAGGCCCAACGTGTCCCTCGGTGCTTCCGCGTCGCAAAATGCAGCCTTGAACGCCTTCGCCAACGTCGCCGGCGCATACTGAGTCACTGTTGGACGGCCCCTGGGCCCGGCGAGGGTCCCCCGAGCCCGAAACAAAAACAGATGTTGTCACGACGCCGGGCGGTCTGGGCCTGTGGTGGTTGTGGGAACCATGGCTGGGGGACGTGTGCGCCCTGCGCGGCCTGCGAGACCTTTGGCGCCCGTGCGACACGCAGGACCTGTGGGACCTGTGGGGCCTGCGGGGCAGGCCTCTCAGAAGCCTCTCCGAAGCCTCTCAGAAGCCTCTCAGAAGCCTCGCAGAAGCCTCTCAGAAGCCTCGCAGAAGCCTCCCGGAAGCCTCTCCGAAGCCTCTCAGAAGCCTCGCAGAAGCCTCCCGGAAGCCTCTCAGAAGCCTCTCGGAAGCCTCCCACAAGCCTCTCATAAGCCTCCCACAAGCCTCTCAGAAGCCTCCCACAAGCCTCTCAGAAGCCTCCCACAAGCCTCTCCGAAGCTTCCCACAAGCCTCGCAGAGGCTTCAGAGAAGCCTTTCAGGGGCCTCAGAGAAGCCTTTCAGAGGCCTCAGAGAAGCTTTTCAAACGCCTCAGAGAAGCCTTTCAGAGGGCTCAGATCAGCAGGAGCTCTTGGATCGGTTGCAATCCTGTGTTCTCCTGACAGGTTTGTATAGGAATCCTTTAGGTTGCGATCAGTCCGTTTCCAGTGGTTGCAGTCCGACCAAAGGAGCTCCTGAACAATCCGAAGTGGTTGTGATCGGTCTTATTCCCGCCCCCTAGAGGGCTCCAAGACAGCCCAAGCCCACCGAGACGGCCCAGGAGGGTCCCTGGACGACCCAAGAGGACTCCAAGACGTCCCAAAAAAAAACCACGAGGACACCCCCAGAAGGCCCACGTCGACTTCGTCCTTCTTCTGGGGGTCGGCGGGATGGTGTGAGCCTCTGCTCCAGTCATCGGAGGAGGGAGCGATTTCCTCCTTCGAACTCAGGGGCATCGCTGGGCGGTCAAAACGAGGACTGAGGTCCAGGCGGTCACGACGACTCCCTCACAGCCACGAGGGCGATCTATCCCCGGCGTGCTGCATGTTGGACAGGAACTCTTCAGGGCCCGCGCCCCTGTCCAGGAGGGGTGCCATACTGGCGCGAACAGTGGGAGCTGAATGAGGAGGGACTGTTCGACCGCCCCCTGCACGCAGGCCTGCTGGTGCGATTGATCTTGAGACGTAGCTGGCCGGGACTCCCCTCCAGCAAGGGCTCAGGGCTCTCTCCCTCTCTCCCTCTCTCTCTCGCTCTGTTTCTCTCTCTCTCTCTCTTTCTTCTCTCTCTCTCTCTCTCTTTCTCTCTCTCTCTCTCTCTCTCTCTCTCTCTCTCTCTCTCGCTCACAATTACCCCTCTGAGTGCTGTCGTACCTCCCCGAAGACGTGCTGAGAGTAGCGCGCCCCCTCCTTGTTCTTGTTTCTGTCACCGGATGGCGCCGAATTGATTTTCCGGATGCTTCTCTCATCCAAACGCTTCCAGTCCTTCCATCTTGGCGCTCCCGCTGCAGCGTTGGCCTCGTTTTAGAATCGGCGCTTTGCTCCTGTCGTTGAATGGCGTTCTCGCCGTAGCGCGGGCTGCATTTCTGTATCCGAATGTTTCCTCGTCGGCGTCGCCCCCTTCATTTCCCCTCCCCCGCCTTCCCCTGGTCCTCCTACTCCTCTCGCCCCTCGTACTTCTGCTCCTGCTGCTGCTGTTCCTCCGCGTCCTCCTCCGCCCATATCCTCATCATCTTCTTCCTCCTGCTCATCTTCGTGCTCAGTCACAACACTGTTCTCTTCAGACTGCGCACATCCTGGCGAGGTCATTGTGGGGGGTCTACGTCCGCCAAGACACGCGTCGGCGGATGAGGAAGATTGGATGTCACATGTGGTGCGAGCGCACCTAGCGTGCCCTCTCACCTGTCTCTCCCTCTCTCTCTCTCTCTCGCAACCTCTCTATATCTCTCTGTGCCTCTATATATGTATATATGCATGGTATACACTCGTGTTTTACATATGTATACACATGCATATCACTTGATTATTACACGGCCGATCCTGGCTCCCTCGCACTCCGACTCTTCAGGGGAAGTGGCCTACCAGCCGTCTTTGTCTCCTTCTCCGTTCCAGCGCTCTCTCGCGTTCGCCTGTGTTCCTCAGCGCTGGGTCTACGTTCGCCCTGTATTGGATGATGCCGCAGATGGAGCAATTCTTCCACCATTGTCAACAGAGACTCTGGTAGATCAGCTAGCCTAGAGGGCGGTTGCACTGGAGAGGAAGAGGAGCGGAGGAGTGAAAGAGGAGGGGAAAGAGGGAGTGGGAGACGGGGGTGGAGGGAAAGTGCGAGTAGAGACGGGAAGGAGGAAGATGAGCAGGACAGAGGCGGTGGAGGACTGATGTCAAGTTTGGTCGCGGCACCCGCTGCCGCAAATACAACGCCCCGGAGCCCGACAGGAGGCGCCTGGCTTGCCAGGGAAGTATACGTCGATAAGCTGAGCCAGGTCGTCGTATCTGCCTCCCGCTGAGAAAGAGAAGGAGGAGGACGAGGAAGAGTGTGAGCAGTGGGTGGAGAGAGGAGCACGAGGAAAGGCAGGTCCGTGGGGCCAACTATGGTGTCCCATTTTGACAGGCGCGCACTCTCCCTGTCCCACCACACTCTATTTCTCTCCCGCCTCCGCTTTCTCCTCGTCATCGCCCTCCTCCTCATCATCCGCATCGTCGTGGTCCTCCATGCCATACTTAATCGCCATGATCAGCAACGTCATCAACCACAATATCATGATGATCGTCATCATCCTCATCAGAATCATCATCATCAGCAACATCATCAACCTCAATATCATGATCAGCAGCGTCATCAATCTCAGTACCGCGTTCATCATCAACATCATCATCATCATCATCATCATCATCATCATCATCATCATCATCGTCATCAGTAGCAGTATCGTCATCATCATCATCATCATCATCATCATCATCGTCATCAGTAGCAGTATCGTCATCATCATCAGCATCATCATCATCCATCCTCATCAACAACATCATCATCCTTGCCAGCATGATGATCGTCAACAGCATCAGCAGCAGCAACATCATCAGAATAATCGTCAGTGTCATAATCGGCATCGCCATCGCTATCGTCATCGGAATGATCATCGTTGTAATTATCATGAGGACAGCAGAAGCATCATCAGCAGCATCCACATCATTAGCGCCACCATCATCATCATCATCATCATCATCATCATCATCATCATCATCATCATCATCATCATCATCGTCATCGTCATCGTCATCGTCATCGTCATCGTCGTCCACATCACCATCACCCTTATACGTAATCATCCTCGTCCGCATCGTCAACGTCATCGTAATCGTCAGCACACCTCCTCTTCCTACTCCTCATCATCCCTCCTCCTACATATTCAGTCCACCCTCCGTTACATCTCTCCTCTGCCTCTCCCTCTCCTCATGGCCTCCCCATCCCCTCCTTGTGAGACAACGCCTCACGCAGAGAAGTTGTTGGACAAAGTCGCCCTGCTGAAACATTCCTTGAACTGTCTCGTGAAATCATTCGGAACCTGAGGTTTCCGGCACGCTGTAAAATGTGGGCCGCCATACCTATGTGTATATATACATTATATATGTATGTAGATACACACGTACAGACCTATTAACTATATATATATATATATATGAACAAGTATACGGAACAACGTTCGAGGATGTAGCCTTCCCCCGAGAAAAGATGGCACCCTGAAAAGTGGATCCAGGGAGCTGTTCATACACCGCCCATACCCAGGGTGAGCTTACTAACCCGGAACAACAGCCTGGACAACGACGACGAGACCTCAGGACAATTGGGCCGCTGGGACAGTCAGGACCTTTGGGATCACCGATCACTGGAGTTACTGGTCAGTTTGGACCCCCACCACTTTCTCTCTCTTTACCGTTCACCGGGGGCGCGCAAGCGAGATCCCTCCGACTGCGTGTGCGTGCGGCCCTTCTCGCCGCTCGCACCTGCGTCCTCGGCTGCACTGCCCCGCACATTGCGGCGCATGACGCTCCACGCGGACAGGCGCGAACCCCTGTGGTCGATCAGGGTACAACAGGCCATGTGGCCTCGTCCTTGGACCGTTGACGCACCATCTGGCTCCGAGGCGAGGGACCTCCCTCCTCCCCCTCCTCCTCCTCCTCCTCTCTCCTCCTCCCTCCTCCTCCTCCTCCTCCTCCTCCTCCTCCTCCTCCCTCCTCCTCCTCCTCCTCCTCCTCCTCCTCCTCCTCCTCCTCCTCCTCCTCCTCCTCCTCCTCCTCCCTTCCCCTCTCCTCCTCCTCCTCCTCCTCCTCCTCCTCCTCCTCCTCCTCCTCCTCCTCCTCCTCCTCCTGAAGCTGAGCGAAGGGCAACGCCCTGCGGCAAGAAGAGGGGGCCCTGCCCGCCGTCGGCGGGCCCGCCGCCCCAGGGCACCGGCAACAGCCGCGCCCCCCGCCCGAGGGCGGCGAGGCCGCCGCGGGCGGCGGTCGGAGGAGGGGCCCTCTCGGACGCGCCGCGCGGCGAGGGCTCGGCGAGGGGCGCGGCGCTGCGACCCGCGAAAGTTGCGGCCACCAGGCTCCCGCTGGGGCAGATGGCGTCACGCTCCCTCTGCTGGGCGTGCAGGGCCTGCCGCATCGGCCGGAGTGTGCACGCGGCCGAGGGCGCGGCCTTGCTGCCCCTCCGGGCCCGCGGCGGCGTGGCTTCTCAGAGAGTGAGGGAGCAGCCGCTGCGAGCGGAGGAGCAGGAGCAGGAGCAGGAGGAGAAGCAGGAGGAGGAGGAGGAGGGAGCTGGACGAGGAGGGGGCTGAGAGTGGAAACGGCCGAGCCCCGCAGCGACGGAATACGGCAAGAGGCCAGGCACCTGGCACGTCTCCCAGCCTGAGGCAGCACCCCTGGCCAGAGCCCAGGCTCGCTCCTCGACGACATGTTCCGCAGCTCGACGGCGAGGATGGGGAGGCGAGCAGGACCCAGGAGGGCTCGGGGGCGTGAGGTCCCTCGGCCGGCGTTGGCCCCTCAGCCAGGGTGCACTGGCACGGCTCTGCTGGCGCGGAGTGTCACAGGCCAGCTGAGGGCAAGCCCATTCCCTCCTCCTCCTCCTCCTCCTCCTCCTCCTCCTCCTCCTACTCCTCCTCCTCCTCCTCCTCCTGACGACCTTGGGAAGGAGGAGGAGGAGGAGAAAGAGGAGGAGCAGCAGCAGGAGCAGCACACGATGATGGCGACGGCGACGGCGACGGCGACGGCGACGGCGACGGCGACGGCGACGGCGACGGCGACGGCGACGGCGGCGGCGGCGGCGGGGGCGGCGACGACGACGACGACGACGACGACGACGACGACGACGACGACGACGACGACGACGACGACGACGACGACAACGACGACGACGACGACGAGTGAGAGCAGAGGGAGAGCAGAGGGAGAGGCGCATAAGCAGGAGATGGGGACGAGGGGAAGGAAAAGGGAGGCGTTAGGGGAGAACGAGTGAGCAGGCGAGGCTTAGATCTCTCGGTGTCCGCTGCGCGGCTTGCCCCTGCGTCTCCCGCTGGAGGGCCTTCGAGGAACACGAGGTATCGCTCCAGAGAGCCCCTGGGGTCGACCTCCAACAGCCACCGCCTGGCGAGGCGGAGGGGTGGGAGGCGAGGGAGCAGCTCAGGAGCATCATCGCTCGACCCCTGGCGACGACTTGATACCATATTGGCATGAAGGAATGGGACCGTCCAAAACTGCGCAGGGTGAAGAACTGGACCTGGGGGCACTCCTTGGATCCAGGGCCCGTGTCCCTCAGAATCCGACCCTTCGCAGCGAATCAGAGTTCGTCTTTGCCGCCCACTTGCACTCGCGATTTGCGGTGTCCGTGAGGGGTATTGTGAGTACCTACCAGACCACCCCAACCCAACCCGAAGACCCGCATTTCGGATTTGGGGGGGTACGGGTTCCATATGTGTTTGTTCAATGTTCCCCGACCCCCCCACACACTGGAAATGGACGGCAAATTGAGGCCTTCGGGTTGCGTTGGGGTGGTCTGGTGGGTGGTGATATGGCGGGTCGTGTCAGAATCCTATGCGTCAATCCCCTTGCTCCCCCATCCATTCCGCCTTTTCCCGCCCCTCCCTCCGGAGCCTTGCAAGCCTAGCTGATCGAGCACGTGCAAAATCACGGAATGTGACCGCCGCCGCCGCCCCTAATGCTTGCACCGTCGCTCCGTGTGCGAGGGCGCGCTCGCGTCTTGCACCGGCAGTGGCATGTTCGGTATGTCAACAGGTGAGGCAGCAGCGGAGCTGAAACCGACTACTGCACCAGCGGACTTGCGCTGCACGCGCGTGATCTGGAGTGCCCTTGCGCTGCTCGGCGTTATCTCTCTTTTCGAGCTGGGTACTGCAACTGACTCGTGCCCGTCGATCCTGAATGATGTGAATAACAAGTTCGGATGAACGAGGACGCAGCCGTGGAAGGAAGACTAGTAAGCGTAGCGTGACCAGGCGCAGGGATAGATAAAAGGAGGAGGAGCAGGCACAAGCTGACGACGATGACGATGAAGACGACGACGACAACGACGATGATGACGACGAATGCGGATCTCCCACCGATGTCTGCCCGCGTTCCTTAAGATCCATTGCTTGAATGCTTTCTCGTCTATCAGTGTTCAGCCGTATCGCAACAGCGATTGCACAGAGGAAGAAAGTACCAAATATCTGAGAAGAGAGGAATCGAAAAAGCCTTGCACAATGTCCTATCGGGCAGGCGTCTCCGTGAACCCACGGGGACAAGGAGAGGGCAGCCAGGAACAGGACGTGCGAGGGCCAGGATGGTATGTTCTGGAGGCGAAGCCGTGTCCATCGCACATGATCTCTCTCGCTGATAACAACTACGAGATATTCGCCACGCCTCGAAGGCACGCTCAGGGACCGCTTACCAACGAGAGAGGTCGCCCGAAGAGATGTCCCGCCCCGCCCATCACTTCAGCCGCAGGCCGCGAGGACATCATGCCTCCGCCCACGTGAGAGGCACAACCCTGGGGCTTCGCAACGATTTCTCTGGACGGGAGTCTCCGCCATGCCTCAATCCGCGAGGACACCACGATGGACCCCCGATATCGGAAACTTGAAACAAATAAACTTCCCGTCGTCCACAGGATGGTGCCTTCCAGCACATATTCCCCTCGACTAGGGCCTCGGTGGTCACTTGTTGACAGCTAACGGGGCCCCGAGGGAAATTTGACAAAGCGCAGCTCAAAAATCCCGTGCGTTAATTTGTTCAAGGCGGGGTCACCAGAATTCCTGACCCGCTCCCCAGGGGCGCCTTCTCATCGGATGAGACTGCTGGTCACGCCCGCGTGCACAAACAGGCAGAGCTCTCAGCTCCATCTCAATCTCGATGTTAGGCGTAAAAAACTATCCGCTAGAGCAGAAGCGGTTGCATAGTGATAGTAGTTGTTTGAAGACAGCTCGAATAGACGATCGATCTCAGGTCCCTCGAGGCTCTGGACCAATGCTTTCGAGGCTTCCGAATCCATTGGTGCAATCGAGAGCTCTCTCCTGAGTCGTCTGTTGACGGCCGCGGGCTCGGCGAGGGCTGGGCCCAAAATGGCGAAAAAGCTCAGCACCGCTATTGCTCAGCACGGTAGAGGTCTGGGAGCGGATCCAGAGCCCCAGCGACTCAGGACCCTCCTCTAAGTGATCATTTGTTTATTCGGCGTGTCGACACTGGGCATAAGGGGGGGGGAGGGAGGGAGGGTCTGGCTCAGGACCTCTGCTTGATGCGACAGATTGCAACAATGCGTCCTATGGGGGAGACTCCACCTGTTCGAAAGAGGCGCCAAAAACAGCCAAGATCTACTCCAGGGGGGGTCTACTCAAGGGGGTGGGGAGAGGGGAGGTTGGAGGTTCGAGGGCCCGCGCCGATCGGCAAAACAAGGAATAAGAGAACGATCACTAATCCTTGGCCCTCTACGAGCGCTCGACCCACGTCGCTCTGGTACATTGTGTTGTGAGTCCCAAATATGTGCGGTGACAGCCCGTGCGAGGACCTCGAAATGCCCAAAGGCCTCACCGCACGGTCCGTCACCGCACGGGTTCGGGATCTTCGAAGCACCAGCCGGCCCGGGACGTCCTCGGAGAACGACCCGAGTCCCAAAACGGCGCGGCCACCCCGAAGCCCCACTGACTCACCACGCGGTGCCGTCACCGCACCATCCGGGGGCCCCCGAGACGAGTGCTTCGCACTGGGGAACCGACAGATCCTGGGGGAAGCGGGTGTACTGGACCCTGGGGCCCTTCCCCAGGACGAGATCTCCATCCCGAGTCGTGGCCCGTGGAGGGCCTCGGGGAGCCAAGAACGGCGACACAAAAAAACCTCAGGGCCCGCTTCGCCCGTGGAGGCGTGCTGAGGCCGGCGGAAGAGCAGCACCTACGGTGGCCGTGAATGCAGGGGCCCTGGGACACACAAATAAAAAGACACACATCCCAGGATCCCATGCTTCTGCATATTTTCTGGGTTCCTGTCTTCCCCCCCACTTCCCATGTCTTCGCATACCGACCAGCCATAACTGGGGGAGCTGTGGTCCTTACCCCCCTGGGGGAACCCATCGCGTCGACGATCTCTCGAGAGGGGTGTCGAAATCGATGGGTCCCCCAGGGGGGTAAGGACCACAGCTCCCCCAGTTGTGGCTGGCCTGGCATACCCTCGAGGGGATCGATGATGAATCGTGCCTGTGCGTTTGCTCCCCCTCCTGCCGAAGACCCTCCGCAGGCACGACGTGCCCAGGCCCTCCGAGCAGCAGCGCGCCGGGCTGGGCCGCGGGGGAGACGCGCGCGGCCCCGGCCTGAACGAGCTGTCTCCGCCGGCGGGTGCGCCGCCAGCGGCCTTCTCGTCCGGCGGCCTCGGGCGACGAGGGCCGGAGGGGGGCAGCGCGGGGGGGGGGCCGCCGGCAGAGGGGAAGAGGGCCCAGCGGTCGACGAAGGCGAGGACTGGGGGCGGGAGGGGGAGGAGCAGGCGCGGGAGGAGAAGGAGGAGGAGGCGCAGGAGCAGGGAGGAGGGACGGAGGATGCTGGGCGGAGGAGGAGGAGAGAGAGAGAGAGGAGAGGGAGGGAGGGAGGAGCAGGCCTATGCACATATAGATGTATGTATGTATACCCATACGTGTACAAAGAATGTAGGCCCGTATCGCTGGATGCTCATGCTCAGATCGCACATGTGTGAGCACTCCAGAGTTGACGCAGATGTGTTCCTCCTTGCTCGGAATGAATTTGCTCGACCCGGTCTGCCGCAAAGTCGGTCCCCAGCACTCCCCTGCGGCAGTGGTGGTCGTGCTAGCGTGCAGCTGCGCTGCGGCCTGCATGCCTGGCGGGTCTCCAGGCATGATGCGGCCGCATTAAGCATCCTTCTGCTGGCAAACAAGAATGCAACTGGTCGCGCGCGCGTCCTCGTCGCTCGAGGCGCGCTCTGCGATGGCTCTTGGCGGGGCCAAAGAACGGGCAGGCGCTGGTACCAGCCACACTGGTAACAACGGCCACTCCATAAAGACATCGATGGCCCACCACCCTGGCCGCTACCCTGAGGGGGCGTCACCGTCCGACTAGTCCATCGAGTCGGCGCAGCTCCGCTCGCGAGCGGTGCTGACTTCCTTTGCTCAGTTTTGTAATAGCGCTCAGTTTCAACGCTGTGGCAGTCTGCCTCACCCCCTTCCTTCCTTCCTGGGGCACGTGCCTGCCTTGGCAGGGTGCGGCGGGCCATACCAACTCTACAAATGTGGCGTTTACACTACTACGTATACGAACACACCAGAACACAGGCCTGAAGCTGCGAGGTCCACAGCTGAACAGAACTCACTCGCTCTCAGTGCCAACAAGCCGATCCCGCGGTCGAGGTGCGATCGTGAGCGAAGCAGGCTATCGATGTGCGCTCGGTCCCGCAGGACCCACAGGGAGGCCAGCACTCGCCTCGACCCCCTGCTGCTCGGACGCAGCGCGGGTGCCGATGTGCCTCTCGAGCCAGAGACGCGAGCTTCCAGAACGTTCTACGGGGAATGACCACGCCCTGCCCCTCTCCCGTCCTTCTCCGTGGAGGCGGGGAGGGCAGGGGGGCAGTCACTGGCACGCAGGAGGCAGGTCCTGAGGGAAACGGATCACTGAACCCGAGGCTCTTCCCCGGGACAATCTTCTCCTCCTCCTCCTCCTCCTCCTTCTCCTCCTCCTCCTCCTCCTTCTCCTCCTCCTCCTCCTCCTCCTCCTCCTCCTCCTCCTGAGTCGTTCCTCCGGAGGGCCCCTAGAAGCCATGTGCAGCGCAAAACCTCAGGACCCGTTTCCCTCGGAACCCCCTCCTTATCCTGCACGGCGAAGGGAAACGTCCCCAAGACGGTGCGGTGACAGACCCTGCGGTGGCCTCGGAATCTCCAAAGGCCTCACCGCACGGTCCGTCACCGCACGGTTTGGGGGCCTTGGAAGCCCCCGGTCGCCCGAGGCGAACTCGGAAAACGGCCCAAGTCGTACGACCGTGCGGTCACCCCGAACGCTTTGTTCCCCTTTGCCATATCTCGGGTCTCCAGCGGCCGTTCGGGACGATCCAGGCAATGCCCGAAAGGCTCTCGGCCCGGCGAGGCGCAGCCGCTGGAACGCATCCCGAGGCAGGGGAACACCCAGGAGACCGACAAAAACGTTCGGAAAACCTGCCTCCCCGCTGACGCATCCCACGGTTAGATGCTCGCTCTGGGGACATTCCTGGAGCCACTCGTTCCACTCGTGCGCCGATGCCACGTCGAGCGTCCGTCGCCCTGAGTCGAACTCGAGTCGAGCTCGAGTCGAGCTTGCGCCGAACTTGAGTCGAGCGTTAGTCGAGCTAGCATCGCACTGGAGTCGTCGAACTGGAGTCGAACCGATCCGTGAGGTGGTCCCCGGGAAGGCCCCCCCCCAAAACGAGCCTCTGACCACGACGTGGCCACCGCCCTGGGGGGGGGGGCCCGACCCCGAAGGGCTCCCCTGTGGCGGCACCCCGCCCGGCAGCGCGGGGGAGCGAAGAGGCGGCCACCTCGGATGCGTGGCCCCCCGACGGCGCCCCCACGGCGCCCCCGAGGGCTGCCCCACCCGACGGCGCCCCCGAGGGCTGCCCCCCCGACGGCGCCCCCGAGGCCCACGGCGCCCCCGAGGGCTGCCCCGCCGACGGCCGCCAGGCACCCGAGGCCACCGCGGGGCGCCGCGCGCAGAGCGGCGGGGCGCAGCCTCTCGGAGAGGGCGCCCCCCCCTCCCGACGCGCTGCGGCACGCGCGGCACGCGAGAGCGGCCCGCTGTCGCTGGCACACGTCGACGGGCCCGGACCCTCTGCGGCGTCCGCGGCCGGCCGCGCCCCGCTCGCAGAAGCCGCCGCAGAGGCCACCCGTCCAAAGAGCGGCCACCCAGACGAGCTCGGCTGCCACGACCGAGACCGCCGGAGAACCGCGCACAGGGGATCCGTCAACAAGAGAGCACGGGAGGCCTCGCGGAACGCGATCCCGAGAGAGCCCACGACCTCTGCCAACCCCCGGCATCACGCGGCCACGCCCCCCTCGGGGATCCTCTGACCCGGGTCAAGGCAGACCCGGGTCAGCCGGCCCCTGCAAGATCCTGCGAGATGCTGCGCCCGAGCCCGGGCCGGCGCGAAGGATCCTGCACCTTAAACCTGGGCCGTGCGCCCCTCGCCCTGCAGGATCCGGCGCTCTGGCGGACCCCCGCCTGCACGGACCCCCGTCTCGAGGCTCCCACGCCGCCCCCACGCTGCCCCCGGTCGTCGGGCCCGGAGCGGCGCGGAGCCCCCCCCCCCCGGGCGAGCGGAGGCGGGCCCCCCCCGGAGCGGCTCGAAGGGGAGCGGCGCGGGCCAGGGGGCCCATCCCCCCGTCCCCCGTCCTTGCTCCCGCGCGCGAGCTCGGTGGCAACTCGTGGGAGCCTCCCATGCGTACCATCTTGCTGGCTCTTGCGAATCGACACGCTGGCCGACGCTCGTCGACGCTGAGTCGACGCCCATCGACGCCAAGCCGGCGCTTCCTCATCGACTGCCAGACGCTGGCGCACGCTGACGCACTCCAATGACGAAATTGCGAGACCATGTCAGGCTCCCGTGATGTGCTGCCGAACGCGCATGCTGGCAGGAGGGTGGGCCATACAGCGAGAGCATTGGACAGGGAACCACTGGATAAGGCATCCAAGGTCTGGCAGCCAGTGGAACTCCGCTCGTGGATTGGCCATGGACATCACCGCCGCCCTCGGCAGATAAGGAATCGTCCAGGGTCCGTGAAGCCTCCTGGAGGACACATCCCTCACTCGCAGCAGCCATTTTTTACCTGGGCCAGCCTGAAGAGGCGGCGTGGCCGCCGAACGCTCACCCGAAGCGCCGGAACAAATCGACAACGATCACAACGATAACGATAACGACGATCACAACGATCACAACGTTCGCAGCAGGCTACAGCAGGAGGAAAGCGGGGTACAGCAGGAGAAAAGCAGGGATCGTTGCGATCGTTGTTACCCTTGCTAATCGCGATGATCGCCGTGACTCGTTGCGATCGTTGTTAATTAGAGTTGTTGTCGTGATGATCGTTGTGAGCGTTACCGTTGCCATCGCTGGCTGCCCCGACCCCGTGCTCGAGGTCCCCCGTCGCTGTCTCCCGCGGGGGCGGGCGCGGCAGCGCCCGCCGGCCTGGGCGGCGCCCCCTCCGCCGCCGGCCGCCGCCAGGGGGGCACCGTGGCGGCGGCGGGCCGCGGCGGCGGAGCCTCGCTGGGGGCCTGCGGCGGCGAGGGGGGGCGGCGGCAGCGGAGGGGGAGCGGGGCCCTCCTGCCTCCTCCTGTGGTGCCTCCCCCCTCTGCGCTCCCGCGCGCGCGTGCCGGCAAGAGGGGAGGGCCGTGCCATAGCTGTCCTTGCCCGCGCCAGGCCGCAGAGCCTCGCGAGACCGGCGAGAGCTCGCAGGTACCACTGGCAAAGGAGAGGAGTATGTCAAATCATAGGGGTCACTGGCTTGAGGTTGTCCATCGTTGCAGTGCGGGGGGGGGGGGGCGTGGCCCAGACGTGCTCACGAGCGGTGAACAGATCCACATCCACGCCCTCGCGGCCTGGGGGCTCTGGGGCGCGATGCCGCGGAGGCGCGGTCGCACGAAGACGCTGTGCGCGGGGCCTCCGCGCAACCGCACCTGCGCACCCGCGGGCTCGCGGCCACGGGCTCAGGGCCCGCGAGATCGCGGATGCGGAGGTGCGGTTGCGCCCTCGACGTGCTCGCGTCGGGAGAAGCGCTCGACGGGAGGCCGTTGGCCGCGCCTGGCCCCCGGGGGCCCTCGCCGGAGCGCCAGGCTGGAGGCCGGGCCCCCGGGGGCCGTCGAAGAGCGGCTCGGGAGAGGAAGCCGGCCCTGGGGAAGGTGGTCGGGGCTGCCGTGGACCCCGCACTGGAAAAATCAACACATTGCATGGGCAGGGGGGGCCAGCTGAGGGGGGGAACATTGCCCTGAACTCGGCGATGCATCACCGATAGATCGGTGATCGGCCCACGATAGGAAGTCCGCACGTTCCTGGGCGGGGTGCGCTCGGGCCCCTATCGGCAGGGAATGGGCGATTCGGGGTCGATACATACCCCTCTGAGCCTATATCC